CATTATTATCATAGAAATTAATACTGTCTGTAATAATGTAACTAATTAAATGTTAATCAAAAAGACAAATTGATTAACTATGTATAAATACATATATCTAAAATTGTTCAGCATACAAAGACTACATATTACAGTCTCACCCCTATATACCACAAACTTTTTTTAAATAGTTTGGAAAGTTTTTATCAAGCTTTGAGAAGTGATAATTTTGTAAAAAGTTACGTGCATATAAAACAATTTAAAAATAAAAAAAGTGCCCGTAAAATTATTAAGAGATTGAGGGTAACTATTAATGTTTCAGCAGTGATAATTACATAAAAAGATACGTAGAATCTCATGGTGACAACGGTTTTCGAATGCGGTGTCAAATAATTAGTTTCTGGCATTATTTTTGCTAAAAAATACGAAATGACTAAAATATAAAAAAGCGCTCGTGAGATTAGTAGGAGATGAAGGGTATTTATTAATGGCTGAAAAGTGATTAGTATATAAAAGAGTACGTAGAATCTCATGGTGTCAACGGTTTTCAAGTGAGTTGTCAAATAAGTACTTTTTGGCATTCCCTTTGGTAAAATATATAAAACAATTCAAACATAAAAAAGCGCTCGAAAGATTATTAGGAGAGGGAGGATATTTATTAGGGTTTGAGAACTGAAAATTATATAAAAAAGTATGTAGAATCTCATGGTGTCAACGGGTTCCGAGTAGCGTTTCCAATAAGGATGCACAAGTAATATTTTGATGAAATCATTTATGTATATATACAAATTAATAGAACTTTATTGAAAATTTCGGTGAAGGCGCCGGGCAACTTAAAACAATAGCAATAATTGAGTTCTAATTCCGATGTAATTGAAATAAATTGATGAATTTTCATCCATACATTATATTCCTTCCATGTTAGGGATGCTAATTTAAATTTTTCTTTTCTTCAACATTATCAAAGGATAAAGGACATTAAAAAAAAGAACACAAACAGAATTAACTTTCCCTAAGACAAGCAAATAAATAAAACAGTTTTTAGGGTTTTCCGCGTGTTATTGCTTAAAGCGACAGTTGCTAATCTGTCTTATGTCTTAAGAGAATCGCCAATATAAAAAATACCATCAAATTCATTAACTCCTTTAATAACACCAAGAAAATTTTAAGCAACTTACCAATTGTAGTGTATCAATCCAAACTTCAGAAAATCGATCAGTATGGTGCCTCATGTGAAGGTTTAGGTGCGATTCTATAGACAAAAAAAAATGTTTAGGTCAAACTTAAGTTTAACTTTTAAATTTAAAAGAGTCTAATTCCAACTTAATTAGTTAGAGACTGAAATTACAGTAACTCGATTATCTTGTAAAGCCAACTCTCAAATCAACCATCAATCAACAAAATTATGATTTATACAAACAAAATAGTAATTGACATTATCAGTACAGAAACATAAAATTTAGCATAAACAAGAAACCAAACTTTAGTAAGAGGATTTTTCCAGAAGTGGACACGTTAATATTATAATGCCGACAGGCACTATCACAAGTAATCGAGATAAAAAAATTATAGACATTGTATGTCTAAGTACTTTAAGTTTTTAAGTGAAGATTCATATCTACAGTTACAAGGGGAGCAACTTAAATAATAATTATTAGTGAAAATACAGCTAGCTATTTAGATAACAAAATCACTGCCAGAAAACGTGAACTAATAAATCCTTTAGCCCTAATTAAATCCATTTCTGATACTTTCGATGCTGATGATGGTGTACATTTTGATAACGCAACCGAGTCAAAAAGATGTCATAAACGGTTTTAACAGAAAGTTTAGAAACGTATAATGTAAAATTTTGAAAAACATTTCGTAATATTTCAAACAACTTCATCTAAATACAAACAAGTATTTACACTATGGGAATTATTATTTACCAATTAAATATTAAAATGGTAACCCTATGAATTATTTGAAACATGAATACTTGAAAGTTACTAAACTGTTTAGAATTCCCTCAATAAAGTTTATGCATAGTTTTTGTAAATAGTTTCTGTCAGAAAAGTATTTATAAATCGCGTTGACTCCAGAGGCACTGAAGGAATGTTTGTTGGAAGAGATTTAGGTAAGAATTTAAGATTTCTACGTGAACTTGGTGAATCCAATTCGAATATTAATTATATTTTTAAATTTGTTTTATGTAGGCTCAGGAAGGAATGGAATTTGATGGCGTCAAAGTGAAATGAGATTACTGTTTTTACTTTAATTAAAGGACAAATACTATTTACAAATTACTTCGGCCATTTTTTCATATAAATAATAAAGTATAAATACGTCTAACTAAAGATAATTAAAGATGCGCAATTTGATGGTTTCGAGGGGTTGTACGCTTTGCTCAAAAGATTTTGAGAGATCAATTAGTTTAGGGTAGCACTGGAGAAGCTGGTGATATTTTCTGATAGACGTGGTTAAAAAAATCTATTTTCAATTAGGCATTTTCGCTTGTGTGACATGAAAAGAAAACATGCCGACAAAGAAATGCGTAATTTCTATGTAGGATAAATGATTTGACTTATCTGCATATACGAAACATATCAGCCCAGACGTGATTATCGAGGGGATAATCTAATCAATGTTATAAAATAAAAGTTTCGTTTCGTTATATCCTATTAATCGAAAAAGATTTTTTAAACAAAATAAACATTATTTAAGGTCTAGCTCAAAATAAAATATGCTTCACTAATTCTACTGTATGAGCAGGTACAGAAATTGTTATTCAATGAACCGATGGAATATATATTTACAAAAAACAATTGTTAACAGCAAACTTACATTACAAATGCCCCACTGATCAACTTCAAAAAGTTAAACATGAAACAAATAAAACCTACTGTTAAGTTCATATATAGTTGATAATAAATCAATAACTAACACTGTGCAGGCTATGACGCTATAAATTTAACATATGTATATAGGTCAANCAGCAAACTTACATTACAAATGCCCCACTGATCAACTTCAAAAAGTTAAACATGAAACAAATAAAACCTACTGTTAAGTTCATATATAGTTGATAATAAATCAATAACTAACACTGTGCAGGCTATGACGCTATAAATTTAACATATGTATATAGGTCAATGTGGAAGGACCATAAAACAGAATAGGAGAACATAAATAAAAAAACAAACAACAACTGATTTCATAGATCATTGTCCTCAAGAAAATCACCAGTTCGATGAAGGTTCTATTAACTATGTATAAATACATATATCTAAAATTGTTCAGCATACAAAGACTACATATTACAGTCTCACCCCTATATACCACAAACTTTTTTTAAATAGTTTGGAAAGTTTTTATCAAGCTTTGAGAAGTGATAATTTTGTAAAAAGTTACGTGCATATAAAACAATTTAAAAATAAAAAAAGTGCCCGTAAAATTATTAAGAGATGGAGGGTAACTATTAATGTTTCAGCAGTGATAATTACATAAAAAGATACGTAGAATCTCATGGTGACAACGGTTTTCGAATGCGGTGTCAAATAATTAGTTTCTGGCATTATTTTTGCTAAAAAATACGAAATGACTAAAATATAAAAAAGCGCTCGTGAGATTAGTAGGAGATGAAGGGTATTTATTAATGGCTGAAAAGTGATTAGTATATAAAAGAGTACGTAGAATCTCATGGTGTCAACGGTTTTCAAGTGAGTTGTCAAATAAGTACTTTTTGGCATTCCCTTTGGTAAAATATATAAAACAATTCAAACATAAAAAAGCGCTCGAAAGATTATTAGGAGAGGGAGGATATTTATTAGGGTTTGAGAACTGAAAATTATATAAAAAAGTATGTAGAATCTCATGGTGTCAACGGGTTCCGAGTAGCGTTTCCAATAAGGATGCACAAGTAATATTTTGATGAAATCATTTATGTATATATACAAATTAATAGAACTTTATTGAAAATTTCGGTGAAGGCGCCGGGCAACTTAAAACAATAGCAATAATTGAGTTCTAATTCCGATGTAATTGAAATAAATTGATGAATTTTCATCCATACATTATATTCCTTCCATGTTAGGGATGCTAATTTAAATTTTTCTTTTCTTCAACATTATCAAAGGATAAAGGACATTAAAAAAAAGAACACAAACAGAATTAACTTTCCCTAAGACAAGCAAATAAATAAAACAGTTTTTAGGGTTTTCCGCGTGTTATTGCTTAAAGCGACAGTTGCTAATCTGTCTTATGTCTTAAGAGAATCGCCAATATAAAAAATACCATCAAATTCATTAACTCCTTTAATAACACCAAGAAAATTTTAAGCAACTTACCAATTGTAGTGTATCAATCCAAACTTCAGAAAATCGATCAGTATGGTGCCTCATGTGAAGGTTTAGGTGCGATTCTATAGACAAAAAAAAATGTTTAGGTCAAACTTAAGTTTAACTTTTAAATTTAAAAGAGTCTAATTCCAACTTAATTAGTTAGAGACTGAAATTACAGTAACTCGATTATCTTGTAAAGCCAACTCTCAAATCAACCATCAATCAACAAAATTATGATTTATACAAACAAAATAGTAATTGACATTATCAGTACAGAAACATAAAATTTAGCATAAACAAGAAACCAAACTTTAGTAAGAGGATTTTTCCAGAAGTGGACACGTTAATATTATAATGCCGACAGGCACTATCACAAGTAATCGAGATAAAAAAATTATAGACATTGTATGTCTAAGTACTTTAAGTTTTTAAGTGAAGATTCATATCTACAGTTACAAGGGGAGCAACTTAAATAATAATTATTAGTGAAAATACAGCTAGCTATTTAGATAACAAAATCACTGCCAGAAAACGTGAACTAATAAATCCTTTAGCCCTAATTAAATCCATTTCTGATACTTTCGATGCTGATGATGGTGTACATTTTGATAACGCAACCGAGTCAAAAAGATGTCATAAACGGTTTTAACAGAAAGTTTAGAAACGTATAATGTAAAATTTTGAAAAACATTTCGTAATATTTCAAACAACTTCATCTAAATACAAACAAGTATTTACACTATGGGAATTATTATTTACCAATTAAATATTAAAATGGTAACCCTATGAATTATTTGAAACATGAATACTTGAAAGTTACTAAACTGTTTAGAATTCCCTCAATAAAGTTTATGCATAGTTTTTGTAAATAGTTTCTGTCAGAAAAGTATTTATAAATCGCGTTGACTCCAGAGGCACTGAAGGAATGTTTGTTGGAAGAGATTTAGGTAAGAATTTAAGATTTCTACGTGAACTTGGTGAATCCAATTCGAATATTAATTATATTTTTAAATTTGTTTTATGTAGGCTCAGGAAGGAATGGAATTTGATGGCGTCAAAGTGAAATGAGATTACTGTTTTTACTTTAATTAAAGGACAAATACTATTTACAAATTACTTCGGCCATTTTTTCATATAAATAATAAAGTATAAATACGTCTAACTAAAGATAATTAAAGATGCGCAATTTGATGGTTTCGAGGGGTTGTACGCTTTGCTCAAAAGATTTTGAGAGATCAATTAGTTTAGGGTAGCACTGGAGAAGCTGGTGATATTTTCTGATAGACGTGGTTAAAAAAATCTATTTTCAATTAGGCATTTTCGCTTGTGTGACATGAAAAGAAAACATGCCGACAAAGAAATGCGTAATTTCTATGTAGGATAAATGATTTGACTTATCTGCATATACGAAACATATCAGCCCAGACGTGATTATCGAGGGGATAATCTAATCAATGTTATAAAATAAAAGTTTCGTTTCGTTATATCCTATTAATCGAAAAAGATTTTTTAAACAAAATAAACATTATTTAAGGTCTAGCTCAAAATAAAATATGCTTCACTAATTCTACTGTATGAGCAGGTACAGAAATTGTTATTCAATGAACCGATGGAATATATATTTACAAAAAACAATTGTTAACAGCAAACTTACATTACAAATGCCCCACTGATCAACTTCAAAAAGTTAAACATGAAACAAATAAAACCTACTGTTAAGTTCATATATAGTTGATAATAAATCAATAACTAACACTGTGCAGGCTATGACGCTATAAATTTAACATATGTATATAGGTCAATGTGGAAGGACCATAAAACAGAATAGGAGAACATAAATAAAAAAACAAACAACAACTGATTTCATAGATCATTGTCCTCAAGAAAATCACCAGTTCGATGAAGGTTCTACATTTCTTATGAAATTTAATTAATAAAAAATTGTAAAACACAAGTGCTTATTGATTGTTGGATAAGATACTGTTAATTTGAAAGGAAACTTTTTATCATATGAGATATTTGTTGTTGCACTTGTTAGTCACTTCGAAAAGGCTTCATGAATATAAAAGCTGATTTGAATTAGTATTCAAAGTAGTTGTACCTGTATTTTTCCATGGTGGAGCTGCAATTGCAGAACCAAATAATTTCAGGGTAAGTACAAATTGGAAATTAAATGGCAGAAACAGTAGGACAGAAAACTGTTAAATCCTGGAGGAATTGAGATACCTTGTATTTTTGTAGCGTTAATTCAATGTATTAGTGAATTCATTTTTGAATTAATTTCACCCACTACATAAATCGTGGGCCCAAGGGTCGTGGACTGAAAGGATTAGATCCAGACGTTTCGTTGCCAATTCTGATCATAAAAGAATACTAAAATCCTTTTTTCTTTAAAACTTATTATCGGAAGTAGTTTCAATTGAGCTTCAGAAAGTATCTAGCATATTATTGAATACGTGAATTTAATTACAGATTCGTTCTGTATTAACAACAATCCAAAAACGTAGTAACGAAAAATGTTTCCAAAAACTCATGGGAGAGAAACTAAAACTCTTAGTTCACTGATGATATTTATGATTATTTAAAAGATATATTTATTTAGACCACATAATTGATATAATTGTTGGTCAGATCAATCTATACAGGTACTTCTTCTTTAGGTAATTTTACAACAATGGTTTCCACTTATATAAACTCCTTTTATGGTCTCCCCCTTCAAAATACTTCATGCAATGCAGCATCGTCGGTTATGTTTATGTCTCTTGTCAATACTCTCCTTCGAGATCATGACGACATTTCGGACCTGTCGGGAAGAATAAGACCAACTCTAAATCCGGACAACGAGTACGACTTTATAGTAGTAGGAGGTGGTGGTGGAGGATCAGTAGTGGCTGGAAGACTCAGTGAAAATCCCAACTGGAAAGTTCTTCTCATAGAACAAGGCGATGACGAGCCTGTAGGAAGTCAAGTCCCTAGTTTTGCTTTCAATTTCCTGTCAAACAGTGAAACTGCCCTCTTCTATCCGACAGAACCACAAGCGAAAGCCTGTCATGAAAACGCCAACAGTCAATGTACATACGTAAGAGCGAAAATACTCGGAGGGTGCGGGGTAGTTAATGGAATGACATATATCCGTGGGGTTCCGCAAGATTACGACCATTGGGCGAAATTGGGTAACACAGGATGGAGCTACAACGATGTCCTACCGCACTTTCGTAAATCGGAAGACAATGGTAATATTGGTGTTTTGACAAGCCCTCAATATCACGGAGTTGGAGGTCCGCTAAGGGTCGAAAGGTTCCCATACGCTCCTGAGATTAGTTATGATATTCTTGAAGCAGCCAGATCCGTTGGATTTGAAACTCCGACTGATCTTAACGCAGACGTTACCCAAGGATTTACACTTACCCAACATATGAACAAGTAAAGATAACTATTATTATTATTAATATAACTAATTCTTCCCCCCCTATCACTCACTGTGAGCTCGAAACTGTTAGCAGTCGAGTGGTTGAAATTCACTTTTGTGAACAATTTGTTTAATCACTTTCTTTGTGTTAAAAATTGTTTGAAAAATTAAATTTAAAGGAATTGTTTGTAAATAGGTATGCAACACATCGTATACTTCAGCATAAGAAATTACTTATACTAACTACGTAATACTACTTCGCCCTGTGCTGACAGCACTTATAATTTCTTTTATATATAATATTAACATTATTCTGGATTTCGTATTAAAATACTTAGAGTTTGCCAATTCATTTCCATTACAAAAGTAAAATAAACACTCAAGCTCTGTTTTCGGTAGGATTTAAATTCTATAAATTTGAAGACAGAGTAAGTTTCTTGTACGTATGTATTTACCTAACCGTGTTAATTTATTCAGGAACGGTGTTCGTGACAGTTCAGCTCGATCCTATCTTCGTCCTGCAAGATTCAGACCGAATCTGCATATAATGTTGAATTCTACAGCTGCAAAAATTAATTTTTCCGAAGAAAGAGGAACTTCTGTTGCAAAATCCGTGGAATTTTCATATAACGGCAAACGTTACAATATTAATGTTAGAAAGGAAGTAATAGTAGCAGGTGGAACTATCGGTTCGCCCCAGTTACTCCTTTTGTCTGGGATTGGTCCAAAAGCTGATCTAGAAGCTGTGAATGTCACTGTAGTTCGAGATCTTCCAGGCGTAGGCGAAAATTTTCAAAATCACGTTGCGTTACAGTTAGAGATGAACTTAAAGAAAGTTCCGTATACAAACGTCTTGACTTTGGACGCCGTACAAGAATATCTAAATGGTCACAGAGGTCCTTTGTCCTCCACAGGATTGGCACAAGTTGGTGCTCGGTTTTCGTCGTCTGTAAATCCGGATCAAGATTGGCCAGACATGCAAATTTATTTTAATGGCTATAGCGCCAATTGTACATATAGTAATGGTCAAAACAGTTTACCAAACGATGCCACCCTTCCCAATGATACCAGAAGGATCCTCTTTCAAGTAACGTTAGTAAGACCGAAGAGCAAAGGTTACATCAAATTGCGTTCGAACGATCCAACCGCAAGTTTGATTATACAACCTAATTATTTAGAAGAGGATTACGACGTCCAAGCTATGATTTCTGGAATACGAACGGCCATTGATGTGGGAACGGCCAATGTTTTAAAAGAAAAGTACGGCTCTGAACTGGTACAGGGCCGATATGGAAACTGTTCAGATCTTTATCGATTTGGTACCGATGAATTTTGGGAATGCGCAGTCAGATACGGTACCAATCCTGAAAATCACTTGACCGGAACGTGTAAAATGGGTCCTCCAACTGATAGGCTGGCCGTTGTTAATCCTGAATTGAAAGTTTACGGGACATCCAATGTAAGAGTTGCTGATGCATCAACTTTTCCGAGTATAGTTGCGGGAAATACATTTGCCGCCACGGTTCTTGTAGCCGAAAGGACATCCGACTTTATTAAACGGGATTGGTCCTAAAGTATGGCATTGTAATTAAGTTGCTTTTGAAAAGAAGGATTTTACAAAAATAACAAGTTTCTTTCTTTTGAAATTGGGTTCAATTTTGTTATTAAGTCTTATCATACTGTACATGTAAACTAATAGATATTTTACTTGTATAGATATAGAGATGTGCAAAATGGTTTTTTAAAAGTATTTAAATACAAAATGTAAATACTTTTTTAATTTGTTATTTCAAATGTAAAATACAAAATAGATATCCTTTTTATGCAAAATACGTATTTTCAAATAAGTACTTTTTCATGTAGTGGCAAACCCAGAAGCTGAATTTTGGTGTTCCAAAACCATTTTTACTTTTGTTACTTTAGGGCGTTTGGAGTCATTATCTTGAATGAATATCCATTTCAATGATATCTCTTCTTCGACGTATAAGGAAGGATGATTCCCTGCACGACACTGACATAAACTATTTCATCATAATCTTCATCATAAGGTCGTCAGTCCTAGTTTCCCGTTGCCTTCCACATCGCAGCATTGTGCACCGAGCGGCATGGCCTAGAGGTCTAGACCATTGCTTAGCATTCGGGAGGACGCCGGTTCGATTCCGGGTCCGTCTGCCTTGGTCCAAGTTTTTCTGTGGTTTCCTTGGATCACTTAGGCAAATGCTGAGGCAGTAATATTCCACAGATAATCTTTCACTCTCTTCTGTCTTCATTTCGTCCGTCTCATCTTTCTTAACCCGAACCACCACCCACCCATTCCCACGATTCCTGAAAGCAGGCTGAAGAGGACCTTCCGCCCTACCTTCCGGTATAGTCCGGAGGGACTGCCCGCCCACCAGCATTATCGACTGGTGGGAATGAAACATCCAAAAGTTTTTTTTTTTTTTTAGTATTGTGCATCAGAGTGCCATACCGATCCTCGTGATCTCTACCACCCTGAGTACTGGAAGAGCTGCTGTCCTCTTTTAGGGACTTTTAGCCTTTATGAACCCCTCCTTTATAGTTGAACCTATGGTCCGGCTCCCTAAATCATCTAAACTCGCAACCCGATCCACCCACTCTAGTTTGTACAGGAGTTTCGTCAATGTTCAAGTCCCATCGGATAGAATAAACTATTTAATTATTACAAATTTATCATGTACCTATCATTTTTTTAAATTTCACCACGTTTTACAGCTTTTATGATGAACAAAACAACTTCATCCGTAACCGTGTAGTAGGCCATCCAACATTCTCTTTTGGAGAGTGTTTTCCTAATACAGGCAGCGTATCGACATCTAGTGGGTATATGCTGCTACTGAACCATTCAAACGTTATATAGGCAAGGCGTACATAGCTGAATCGATGAGACAACTTATATATCTCATAGGCACGCACTTTTATATTCTTGATGAGAAAATCAAAACTTGCGATTTCGATCTTAATTGATCTCGTCAACGCGCCTTTTCGGATAAAGTTTTAATCAGTGTCCCCCCTCCACTGCCATGTTTGACACGATTCATTTTGTATCAAGGACATTGCCATACCACTAAATTAATTAGCTTTTAAATTAACATCTCACGATGACACTGATTATCACTTTGAACACTCATGATGATTGATGACCTTAAAGATTATTATTTATTATTGACATTTGGCAGCATTCTCACTGCACAATAATATAAATAATTATTAATACTGCAGTTTAATTGATGATTTTATTTAAGATAAACATCAGAAGAAAAGTTGGATCACTTTCATGATTATGTATAACGCGATGTTTCTCAAAATTAAATTAATATTTTGCACGTAACAGTTGAGGTTCTTTTTTTTTTTTTCTTTTGAGAAAATCTTATCTACCACAGACATTGTTTCCATTCCAATGAAAAAATTATAAAACACGTGTATTACTCGATTATTATTCGTCGATTCACAAAGGCAGCGCGAATATAAAAGCTGATTTGTTTTAATTTTCGAAGTAGTTTCATATTATTTTTTAAAAGTACAGGTGCTACTGAAGATCTAAATAAATACGTACCTTACATATTCAGAGTAAGTCTTATTTTCTGAATCAATTGCTATTTAACTCTATTAATTTGAATTCTTATGGAAATATGTTTTGGATAATACTACAAATTCAGTATCTATTTATAACAAAAAAAAGAACATTTTAACAAACGTAGTTGGTAGGTACTAAAAATTTGTTGAAAGAGAAACTAAGACTTTCATCGTCAGTTTGCTCTTTTTGGATTATATTCATGACAAAAGTAGAGTTAAACTAAAGTTTTCGTGAATTCATAATAAGTATCTTTGCACTAACAAATTGTTTCGTAATCTACAAGGTACTTGAAATTATTTAGACATGTTTTTGATTCCTTTTTAATTTTATCTTTCAAGGAGGCAGATCAATGTACTTAGCCTTTCGATAACAAAATTACAAACTATGGCTTGCAACTGTTCAACCCCTTTCTACGGTCTCCCGCTTCAAAACGGTTCCTGTAATGCAGCATCGTCGGTTGTGTTTATGACTCTAGTCAACACTTTACTTCGAAATAATTGTGATATTTCGGACGTGTGTGGGAGAGTAACACCAAAGTTAAATCCGGATGACGAGTACGACTTTATAGTAGTAGGGGCAGGTGGTGGAGGGTCAGTAGTGGCTGGAAGGCTAAGTGAGAATCCCAACTGGAAAGTTCTTCTCATAGAACAGGGAGACGATGAGCCTGTAGGAACTCAAGTGCCTAGTTTTGCCTACAATTTGCTGGGAAATACCGAAACAACCCTTTTCTATCTCACAGAACCCCAAACACGCGCCTGCTTCGAAAACGCAAACAATCAATGTAACTATGTTCGTGGAAAAATACTCGGAGGGTGCGGGGTTGTAAATGGAATGACGTATATGCGTGGAGTACCGAGAGATTACGATCATTGGGCCGAATTGGGTAATACCGGATGGAGCTATGAAGATGTTCTCCCGTACTTTCGTAAATCGGAAGACAATGGCAACGTTGGTGTCTACACGAGTGAGGAATATCACGGCGTTGGAGGTCCGCTGAGCGTTGAGAGGTTTCCTCATACACCTGAGATATGTCATGATATTCTTGAAGCAGCCAGATCCGTTGGATTCGAAACTCCAAGTGACCTTAACTCGGACGTTATAGAAGGATTTACAATTACGCAACACATGAACAGGTAAAGACAATTTCAGTTATTTCGAGGAGGTAACTTCAACCAAATTCAATATTAACTACTAAGTGTTTCATATAGTATTCCATTTTTGTTCTACTTTATTCAGGAATGGGATCCGTGACAGTCCAGCTCGGGCTTATCTTCGTCCTGCAAGATTCCGACCGAACCTTCACATAATGTTAAATTCTACAGCCACAAAAATTCATTTTTCCGAAGAAAACGCAACATCGGTGGCCAAATCGGTGGAATTTTCTTATAACGGCAGACGTTACAATGTCAACGTTACAAAGGAAGTAATAGTAGCGGGTGGAACTGTCGGATCTCCCCAGTTACTCCTTTTGTCCGGAATCGGTCCAAAAGCTGATTTAGAAGCTGTGAACGTCACTGTGGTTCGAGATCTTCCAGGCGTAGGCCAGAATTTTCTAAATCACGCTTCGCTACTGATACAATTCAATCTAAAAAAGGTTCAGAATATAAATCTCTTGACTATGGAAGCATTAAACGAATATTTAGAGCAACGTACAGGTCCTATGTCTTCTACAGGACTAGGACAGGTTGCTGCTCGATTTTCATCGTCTGTAAATACGGATGAAGACTGGCCGGACATTCAGATCTATTTTAATGGTTACGGTGCCAATTGTACTTATAATTGTGGCGAGAGTGGTTTACCAAATGATCCCAACGAACCTAACAACACTAGGAGAATTACCTTTCAAGTAACGTTAGTGAGACCGAAAAGCGAGGGTTATATGAAGTTGCGCTCAAATGACCCTGCTGATAGTCCGATTCTACAACCCCTTTACTTAACCAACGACTACGATGCCAAAGCTATAGTTTCTGGAATACGAAAGGCTATTGAAGTGGCAACTTCCGACGTTTTAAAAGAAAAATACGGCTCTGAACTGGTAGAGGGCCGATACGGGAACTGCTCAGATATTTATGGATTTGGTACCGATGATTTTTGGGATTGCGCGGTCAGGTATGGTATTAATCCCGAAAGTCACATGATCGGAACGTGTAAAATGGGCCCTCCGACCGATAGGCTGGCCGTTGTTAATCCTGAATTGAAAGTTTACGGGACATCCAATGTAAGAGTTGCTGACGCATCAGCTTTCCCGAGAGTTATAGCTGGAAATATTCTTGCCACAGTTATTCTTATTGGCGAAAGGGCGGCCGAAAATATTATAAAAGATTGGTCGTAAAACAACTTTGTAACTAAATAAAACAAACCATAATTGCTATAAAAAATAAACGTTAAATAAGTCTGCCCCATCGTATTTTATGAATAAAATGACCCCGTAATACAAACCAACCGAAAAAGTTCTTCATGGGGGAATTGAATGTCTGGAAACTCGGTTTTTGTTCAGAAATCGAGGGTCAGAGTTCAAAAATCGTAGTCTACTAAAATTGCGCTTCAAGAAGTTTTTAACCAAACTTTATAATGTGAGCGAGAGTATTATCACAAGTAATCGAGATAAAAAAATTATAGACATTGTATGTCTAAGTACTTTAAGTTTTTAAGTGAAGATTCATATCTACAGTTACAAGGGGAGCAACTTAAATAATAATTATTAGTGAAAATACAGCTAGCTATTTAGATAACAAAATCACTGCCAGAAAACGTGAACTAATAAATCCTTTAGCCCTAATTAAATCCATTTCTGATACTTTCGATGCTGATGATGGTGTACATTTTGATAACGCAACCGAGTCAAAAAGATGTCATAAACGGTTTTAACAGAAAGTTTAGAAACGTATAATGTAAAATTTTGAAAAACATTTCGTAATATTTCAAACAACTTCATCTAAATACAAACAAGTATTTACACTATGGGAATTATTATTTACCAATTAAATATTAAAATGGTAACCCTATGAATTATTTGAAACATGAATACTTGAAAGTTACTAAACTGTTTAGAATTCCCTCAATAAAGTTTATGCATAGTTTTTGTAAATAGTTTCTGTCAGAAAAGTATTTATAAATCGCGTTGACTCCAGAGGCACT